TCCCAACATGTATAACTCTCATCTGTGACATACTTTTCTTGAAAGCTATGTACGAATTCCTAGCTCAACTTTCCTCTGGGAAGCAAATCTGTTCTCTCTCTCTCTCTCTCTCTCTCTCTCTATATATATATATATATATATATATATGCTCATATATGTATATATATAATTTATTCTTTTAAATTTCATTTGACATTCTAACCACAGTTCTTCATCCTACCCTTCCTCCCACTCCCCCACCTCCCCCGGCCTACCCCCAGTCCACTCCTCACAGGTAAGGGTTCCCATGAAGAGTCAACAAAGTCTGACACAATTGGTTGGGGCAGGGCCAAGCCCCTCTCTCACGCATTAAGGCTGAGCATAGCATCCTACCATAGGGAATGGACTCCAACAAGCTAGCTCATGTACCATGTTTGGATCGTGGTCCTACTGCCAGAGGCCCCTCTGCTAATCCAAGCTTCACAACTGTCCCCCACATACAGAGGGCCTTGTTTGGTCCTCTGGAGTCTCCACAGCTCCTGTTCTAGAGTTCATGAGTTTCCACGAGCTTGGTGCAGCTGCCTCTGTAGATTTCTCCATCATGATCTTGACCTCCCTTGCTCATATATTCCCTCCTCCCTCTCTTTGACTGGATTCCTTTAGCCCAGTCTGGTGCTTGGTTGTGGATCTCTGTGTCTGGTTCCATCAATTACTGGATGAAGGTTCTATGATGATGGTTGGGATATTCACTAATCTGATTACAGGGGTAGGCCAGTTCAGGCATCCTCTCCACTGTTGCTAGGAGTCTTAGCTGGGGTCATCCTTGTAGATTCTCAGGAATTACCCTAGCACCAGGTTTCTCCCTAACCCTATAGTGGCTTTCTCTATTAAGGTATCTCTATCATTGCTCTTCCACTGCATCCTTCCCCCCTCGACCATCCCGTTCCCTCCTGTTCTCATCCCCTCTCCCCTCCGCCTTACCACCTCCCTGCCCCCAGTTTATCCAGCAGATCTCATCTAATTTCCCTTCCCAGGGCAATCCTTGTGTTCCTCTTAGGGTCCTCCTTTTTATCTAGCTTCTCTGGAGCTATGGATTGTAGTCTGGTTATCTTTTGCTTTACATCTAATATCCACTTATGAGTGAATATATACTGTGTCATTCTGAGTCTGGGTTACCTCACTAAGGATATTTTTTTCTAGTTCCATCCATTTGCCTACAAATTTCATGAGGTCATCATTTTTTTACAGCTCAGTAGTACTCCATTGTGCAAATGTACCACATTTTCCTTACTCATTTTTCAGTTCAGGGGCATCTAGGTTGTTTCCAGATTCTGGATATTATGAATAATCCCACTATGAACATTGTTGGTCAAGTGTCCTTGTGTAATTTAACATCTGTTGGATAAATGCCGAAGAGTGGGTCTTGAGGTAGATTGATTCCCAGATTTCTTAGAAACAGCCATACTGATTTCCAAAGTGTCTGTACAAGTTTGCATTTCCACCTGCAGTGGAGGAGTGTTCCCTTGACTCTACATCCTCTCCAACATAAACTGTCCTCAGTATTTTTGATCTTAGCCATTCTGACAGGTATAAGATGTATCTTAGAGTGACTTTGATTTGCATTTCCCTGGTGAATAAAGGTATTGAGCACTTCCTTAGGTGTCTTTCAGCCATTCTCTGTTTAGCTCTGTACCCCATTTTTCAATTGGGCTGTTTTGTATTTCTGAACTCTTCTTAATTTCCAGAGTGTCTCTTAGTCTCTTTTTCTATTGCTGTGACAAAATGCCATGGCAAGAGCAACTTAAAGGTTCAGTCTGTCATGGCAGGGACATGGCGACAGCAGGACTGTGAAGAAACTGTCACATCACATCCACAATCATGAACAGAGTGTACCATGTGGATGTGATGTAAGCATGCTGTTACTCAGCTCTCACTCTCCAGTTATATAGTCCAGGCTCTGGCCAGGCGATGGTGCCACCCAGTGTGGGTCTTGTCAGCTTATATTACCGTACTCTTTTTTAAAGATTATATTTATTAGTCAGGGGACATGTGTGCTAGGGCCAACTAGAGACAAGAATATGACTTGCTGGAATCTGTTGTCTCCCTCTACAATGAGGGTCCTGGGGATTGAACTCAGGTCATCAGGGTTGGTAGGAGGTACCTGTACCCACTAAGCCATCTTACCAACCCAAATATTTTCTTATTACATTTATTCATTTATGTACATGCATGCCGTGCCACATGTGTAGAAGACAACTTTCAGTAGTCAATTCTCTTCTACTCATGTGGGTCCTGGGGATTGAATTCAAGTCTTCAGGCTTGCTGGTAAACACTGTTATTATACACTGAGCCAGTTCACTGGCCTCCATAATCTTTTAACAAAACAAAAATGGCAAAAAAAAGATGAACGCTTTCATTTCTAGTTGTAAGTGGGAAACAAATTAATACTTTACATACAATAAAGCATACAGAATAACAAGTGTTTGACCACTGACTTCCAGAGGGAATAGATATATTCATACATATATATAAAAGGCATATTCCTGCACTATAGAATTTGAAATAACATGAAGAGAGGCAATGCTTCTATGAATTTTCAAGACTATGTCTTTGTTAAAAGAAATAAAAGAAACCAACTTCTCAATTGTATGTTTTCACCTCTGGATTTCAAAATGCAAAGATGTTTGCTCTCTCTCTGTCTCTCTCTCTCTCCTTTTTTTTAAGAAAGAAAATGTTGCCGGGCGTTGGTGGCACACACCTTAATCCCAACACTCAGGAGGCAGAGGCAGGCCGATCTCTGTGAGTTGGAGGCCAGCCTGGTCTCTAGAGCGAGTGCCAGGATAGGCTCCAGAACTACACAGAAAAACCCTACCTCCAAAAACCAAAAAAAAAAAAAGAAAAAAAGAAAGAAAGAAAGAAAGAAAGAGAAATATTTGTCATAGTTGAAGCCGCAAATGCTATTTTTCCCTGCTTTCGAGGCCTGAAATAGAGAGATTAGGACAAAATAGGACTAAATAGGAACAGAAGCAGATTGGGATTCTGAGGGAGTTTTGAGCATTACTCTTGCTCCTTATGTAATCCCTCCAGCTTTGATTTTTTTTCTTGTCCTACCCACTTCTCTCTCACTGTTTTTGGTTTGTACCCACCCCTGTCCTCTTATTTGACTCCCCAGACTCCTCCTGACATTATACCTCCCTTCAGTGACTCTGCCTTTTAGGTAGTCTGCATTTCACTCCTGGTTCCAGCCTTTGGACTCCCTCTGTTCCAGTGTTCACTTGTGGCCTCTTGATTCCTTCCAGTGCCTGACTCATCCCAAGTCCTATCTTAACTGCTGCCCTTCTGTTGGCTTCCTAGCTTCTCCCCCACTCAATCTCAGTGTTAGCCAGGATCCTTAAAGGTCCCAGCGCTATATTAACCAGTAATCTCCATCGTGGGAACAGGTGGTGAGCTTCATATAAAAAAAATATCCTAGTAGTTATTTATTCTTCTCTCATATATTACATTTTGACCCATTTCTCCTCCTACCACTTCCCCTCTTTCCCAAATCCACTCCTCCTCCACTTCCCTTCAGAAAAGAGCAGGCCTCCCAGCAATATCAATTAAACATGACATAACAGGTTACAATAAGACTAGGTACAAACCATCATATCAATGCTGGACAAGGAAACCCAGCAGGAGGGAAAGGGTCCCAAGAACAGGCAAGAGTCAGAGACAACCCTCACTCCCAGTGTTATAAGTCCCACAAGAACACCAAGCTCCATGAGCATAACACATAAGCAATGAGTGGGCCTAGGTCAGCCCCCACCAGGCTCCCTGGTTGTCACTTCTGTCACTGTGAGCCCCTATGAGCCCTACTTAGTTGATTCTGTTGACTCTGTTCTTGTGGAGTCCTCCAGCCCTTTGGCTCCTACACTCCTTCTTCCCCCTTCTCTGCCTCAGTTGCTGGCTGTGAGGATGACTGGGCTGGGCTCCAGTCTATGAGTATAGCAGAACAACATTGAGAATCATTTACTTATTTTTTTTCTTTGACAGTGGTATTTTGTTCTATCCTTGGTCTCTGGGCTATCCAGCCTCTGGTTCCTGGCTCCCCCAAGCAGTGTCAGGGGTGGGTGGGCTCCCTCTCCTGGTGTGAGACTAAGTTAGACTAGTCATCACTCACACAAGTCAGTGTCATCTTTACTCCAGCACATCTTGCAGGCAGGACAGATTGTAGGTCGAAGATTTTGTGTCTGGGTTGGTTACTTACTTAATCCCTCCACTGGAAGCCTTGCCTGATTACAGAAGATGGCTGGTTCAGACTCTGTAGCCTCCATTACTAGGAGTCTTTGCTAGGATCTACCTATTGGATTTCATGGAGTTTCCATTGCACTAGGTTTCCACATCGTCCCCTGAATGGCCCCCGATTCCAGCTGTCTCTCTCAGTACTCTCTCTCTTCATCCCCCCATCCTTCCTGTTCCCATCCCCACCTGCCCCCAGTCTGCCCACAAAATCTATTTTTAATGATCCTAGTTTTTAATGAGCATTTTCTAACAAAAGTTGGGTTGGCACTCACTGTGAAAGTTCTGTGTGGTATGAGTGTATAAAACTCTGCTGTCTTTGGCAAGTCCCCCTTGTCTGTGTGATTACATTTTTTAGACTAAAGAAGACACAGAATATGATATAGTTTGGGCAGAAAGGCAGCACAAATGACAGAATGCCACAGTCAGACAGAACATTATAGGAACTCTCAAAATTAGTGGTTGGAATTATTTCTTAATATTTTTCTTTATTCATAGCCTAAGCCTTGTCATCTATTTAAAAATTTAAATTTAAAGAAATTTGACTGATAATTATAGCTTCTTAGGATACTTAGAATGACTTTTCCCCCTTAAACATTTAGTTTTACTATTGTTACTAATATCACCTTTTTCATTGTTAATATTATATAATAGAGGAAACATGCTCATTTATAAACCCTGGGCATACATAGCAAAATGCACTTTTCTTTTGCTGAGGCTGTAACCATTCTTATCTATCACAGGTGACATACTGCAGCCCTCTGGCTATGAAGACAGTGCCTCTTAAAAACTGAGTCATATTTTAACTGGCTGAATTGGATAGTTTGTTTGGAATGTATTTTGTGCCATGCACTGTTTCTTTAATGTTTTGTAAGTAATATATTATAATGGTACTTGTAATTCTTCACTCATGCTACTTTTGCTGACAATTAAATTTTAAATGTAAATAAGTGTATATGGCTTTTATTTTTTGTTCAGTTATTTATTCAATAAACATTCACTGGAAGCCTTGTATGTGTCAGGCACCGTTATGGAAAGTGTGAAATATATGGGTAAGATAAAATTATTCTTTCAAAGATTACATAGTTCAGATGAAAACTCAACTAATTATGTAAATAATCATAATGCACTGTGATATGTTAAAATAGGTATTAACAAATTGAGGACTGAGATCCTTTCTGTAAAAGTTACGGAAAGTTTCTGAGAAGTAAAGAAAGGATGGAGAAGGTAAAAGAGACAGGTCTACATGATCCTCAAGTCGGCTACACACTGTTCCTTTCCATAGACAAGGAAAAGTCCACTTCCAGCTACTTTGCTGTTAGGCCAGGTCACATGACTGGTTTGGACTAATAAATTACGAACAGATGTTCCGTGTGTTACTTCTGGCCCTAGGCAGTGAGTGAAGAGCAACTTTGCAATTTCCCAGACTCTTTCACTGTCACTGGGTGGGGCCGTGCTGATGAGGCAGCCCCAGGATCCCAATTGGCGGAGTTCAGGAGTCACCACAACAAAGACAGTTTCTCCAGCAGTAAATCTTGACTGTAAATGTCGATGGGTTTAGAATCACCCAAAAGACATCTCGGAGTAAATCAGTCAGGATGTTTTCGGTTTAACAAAGGAGGAAAGACTCACCCCGAATGTGGATGGCGGCATCTCGTGGACTGGGGTCTCAGACTGAATAAAATGGGGAGGAAGGGTGAGGGGGCTCAAGCTGAGGACCAACACTCATTCCTTCTGCTTCCCGACTGAAGATGCAGGACAGCCAGCAGCCTTATGCTTCACTGCCAGACCTTCCACATCGTCAAACTGTGTGATCAATAAGCCCTTCCTTCCTTAAATACATTTTTCAGGCATTCTGTCACACAATGAGGACATTAACTGATACAGCCAACCTGCAGAGCTAGCCACGTCCATAATGAAGCTGATGTATGTGTGCATGGGGGGTGGAGGGGCATATAGCTTGAAATTGCTTGGAGGGCTGGAGAGATAGCTGGTTTAGTCGGTAAAGTGATCACCACACAAACTTGAGGACCTTAGCACCAATGTAAGAAGCCAGGCCTGGGGGAAGCAGAGACAGGTGGACCCCTTGGACTCGAAGGCCAGTCTGCCTAATTAGTTAACCTCAGGTCACAAAAACAAAGTGGATGGTTCCTGATGAATAAATAGCCCTAAGGCTGTCCTCTGGCCTGTGTGCCTGCGCATACATACACACACTCCATACATGTTCAAAGTATTTTATATTAAGCCATTAGAATCATGTGGGGTGTGTGTGTGTGTGTGTGTGTGTGTGTGTGTGTGTGTGTGTGTGTTGCAGCAGCACAGCATACTTAATTCTGAACAAAATACAGATTTATAATTCACTATCTTGTGGAACATAATTCGAAAGAGCTGGAAGATAGAATCAAGGTCATTAGTTTAAAAAACTATGGAGAAAAGGGATCACTTTTCCTGGCAACAATGTAGAAAAGGTTAGGGAGGGGCAAAATGCAGGGAAATTTAGAGCTAGGAAAGGAGGAAACTGAAGTTTTTTTTTTATGAAAGCTACTATATTGCTGTGATGTCAGAAAAAAAAAGTCTTCTGATGAAAAGGTAAAAAGAAAATTGAAAAAAGTAAAACTGTAAAATAGTTGTTGAGGAAATATTACTCAACAGAATGGAGAAGAGCCAGTTAGACAGGAGGCAGTGGGGGCAGGGCTTGGTGCTGGCCCACTGGGCCTCTAGCTCGTGTGTTTACAGTAGTAAGTCAACATGGTTTTGTCATTTTCTGGAGCAGTGACTACTACCATGAAAGGAACATGGGGGAAAAAAACCACTGTGTACATAGTTGGGGTTGGAAAGTTACTGTGTGAAGAGGTAGTCTCTAGATTATTAAGGAAGTTTGGACAAGCTTAGTTGAAGTGACTGATATTTCAAACAAAGGGATGTGGAGCCAGCAGGGGAAGCAGGTAAAACCAAATACCCTGTAAGAAACTGGACATTTTGATGGGAGTACAGGGCAAGTCCATGGGTATAGAAAGGGGCAAGCCCAGGAGGCTATTTGTATACAGGCCATTATATAATGAAGTGCTTGAGAATATGCTATCTTCATTTCATTAGCAGTTCTGCTCCTTACTCATAATATATTGGACTAGTTAGTCATGTTTTCCCTGGTACCTCAGGCTCTCCATAGGAAAATTTAACCTACATCAAAGGGTTTTGTGAAAGATGTCCAAATGAATTCAAACTCATAAAGTTCTTGGAATAGCACTCAGCATAAATTTCTCAAGTGGCAGTCATTATGATGGGGTGTGAACTGACATGGCTGTTGAGTTGCCATGCATACAGAAAGGCTCAGCAAAGCACAGACTTGTATGGGCACTGTGTATTGTCAAGATGCTGGAGTTAGGCATAGAGAAGACTGGGCCCTCCTTAGGCAGTGCAGTAATGCCCAGTAGTCTGGGAGAAAAGTGTTATAACCATAGCATGAGCCTCCAAAGCTTAGTAGCCACTCCTACAATGTGTAGCTAAGACTGAGAGCATGAGAAATTGAACAGACTCTCCTTTTAAGTGTTTTAGAAAATGAGTCAGCCAGAAAGAACCACGTCAATGCAGGAGGAGGACGTGAACCAAGAAGAAAAGTTTGCTGATGTACGTGAGTGAGGAATCTCACAAGCACTTTGACCAAGATGACTTTGAAAATGAAAAGCCAGTAATGACAGATGGGAGAAGAGAGAAATAAGTTTCCTAAGTGGAATGGGTGGAAGTGTATGCACCTTGAGCCAGCATTTCTGGGTAGGAGATGGGAAATTAATTTGCTTTTAGTTTTTGTTTACCTCAGTTGACATATACATTTTTGTTTTTACTGGCTAGAATACATTTATGAATTGTAAGTCGCAGTCAAAATCTGACTATATATTTTATCGTGTAAATAATATAAATACCTCTACTGTGTGTAAAATTATTGAAAAAATAAATAAATCCAATGTTATTTAAACTATCCAAAGTTATACAAATGATGGCCAACCTACATGTTACAAAGTAATGAAAATGTTAACACTAAAGTTAGATAATAATGGGGAAAGAAAATGTTGTAATTCTGGCTCTTTAAAACAAAGACCCCACCCACTTCATTCTTTTTCCTACTGTTCCCCTGGGACAGATAGGACTTTTCCTGCCTCCCTCTTCTCTTCTGTCCTCTCTCTGTCTCTGTGTCTCTTTACCTCTTTTCTCTCTCCCCCTTCCCTTTCTATTAAAACTTCTCACTTAATCTCTGTCTGGCTAGCATTTTTGCACCTCACTTGTCACGGAATCTGTCAATCCTCCATGGGTTTCATTATAACAGAAAGCAATAGCTCAATTTCACTTATCAATATAGAATGTAAAATTCTTAATAAGCAATTAGAAAACAAAACCCAGCAGGGTGTCAGCCATGACCTTCATTGCCAAGATCTAAATACAGTTCACAACAGAGGCCTTTCAATAACATACTTTTGTTACTTCAAACCATCACAGTGGATGCCAAAAGACCTTTGGTTGAATTGAACAGAAATTTTATTATAACTCTATAAATAATGGTAATAGAAGGAGACTACCGAAACATGATAAAAAAATCACGTATCCAAAGCTAAGAGCAAACATGGCTGCAGACTCCATTTAAAAGCTCTTCTTTGGGGTTCGATAATATGCCTGAATGATGTGATGTTTATTTAAATGTATGGGATGCTTATCTAAAAGGAACAGTGGACTCCGTATTAAAGATAACCAGATATGAGTAGAAACTCAACCCACTTAAAATAATACAAAATAAAGTACAAGCAATATTATAAAGCAAAATAATAAATGAATAAATCTAATAAGAAAAGTACAGGGCCCAAGGGAAGAGACCCATACAATCTTATTGAAGGGTTGCACCAGGGCTAAAAAATAGAAAAAAACACTACCATTTCTTACATGAGAAGATTTAATATTACAAATACATCAATCTGCCCAAATTGTTATATATATTTAATGGCTTTTAGCTAAAATCTCTGTGGCAGAAAAGTGGATTATCCTACAGTTTGCATGGAACAGCAAATGTCCAAAAGGAGCTAAGAAATATGTGAACATGAAAAATAATGAGAGTACCTGTCAGAATGTTAAAATATGGTACAAAGTCAGCATAACTAATGGTTGGGTATTACCTCAGGGATAGACTGATTGATTAAGAACCTGAACAAGATTGCAATAAGCATGGGAACTGGCTATAGATTGAAGGTCGTATTTCATGTGAAGGAGAAAGTGGCTCAGGAAATAGGCACTTTATTCACACATTAGCAAGTAGCACAATTAACAATGTATTTAAAAAACTAATTGAATCATCATTTCCTAGCCTTTACAAAAAACTGTATTAGTTTCAAACACTAAAATGTGAAATAGTAATACTACAAAAAAGTAAAATTTAGATTACTATACATATAAACCTTTATAAATTATACACACACATGAATACATACATATTACATATTGGGGGATAGACTGAGGTTGTTAGACCCCCGAAAACTCAAGTATCCGGGGTCCCAGGCCACGTTCTCGGTCACCCCAATCACCAGGCAGATTCGAGAGCAAACTGCACGAAGCTTTATTGTAATTTAACGAGCTAACCCCATGTTAGCTCGGGTCTTTCACCCACCCGCCATGGTGGACAGCTAGAAAAGACGGCTCCTAGGGTCTCCCAAAAGATCTTATAGGGCAGCATAAGGGGAGTGTCTAGGGGTACGCACAGGCTTACGCACAGGCTCACGATTGGTGTGCCTCCAGGCTTGGAGGGCTTGCCCTGTGTTGATTGGTCAAGTGGTTGTTATGGCCCATAGGCCCTCGCAGGGTGGTTGCTATGCTTTCTACGTCATTGCTGTGCGCTTGTCCGTAAAGCACACCCAGGGTCGTAAAGCATAGCGCCACCAGCTA